TTTAAGAAGCCCCTATACAGCTAAATTTTGTTCGAAGGAAGCGTCATCGTGGTGTGGCTGCGCGATATCTTTGAACCGTACACTTTTATTCGCTTCGTTACCTAAGCTTTTTTGTATCTTATCGAATCTCACGGAGTTGTGTAGTCTCATTAAAATAATACAGGGCTACCGGATAATCTTATCCGGTGTGTTTCGATCGCAGATTGGGTGCGCGTGCGCCGATAACACTACGAGTTATTCCGCCGGTGCACGCTCGATACGCTACTACTTTTTAATTCGTTTTGTGGGGACATCTTCATTATTGTGCTTCTATATTACGTACAAAAACCTACTGCTATGAAAATAAGAAACATATTTTGCGAATACCATTAACAAGATAGCAGCGCTTTATTATCACCAAAATAATTAATTCAATATAATATAGCTTAAGCCGGTGTATTATATGTAATATGTCACTGATAAATCACACATGGTCATAATAACAAATCTTTTTAAGGTAAAGCAAAAAAATAATGTTCTCGTACTCCTTTCCCATTTTATCGAGAAGGTTATTTCTATTTAGGTATTTTGCATGCAAATTCCATATGAATATTCAAAAAAATATTTCCTCCGCATGTTCCTGCTAAACAAACTGTGCCATGGGTGAGGTATTAAAGAATGTACGTTTTTATGAAGAACACATCAAACGTTGCTCTTTCAAATGTGACCGTATACAGTCCTGAGAAAGCCGAGAATATAAAATTGGGGAGAAATTGGATGCCACTTTTTTATGTTCTAAATTTCACACATAATAAAGGGAAGCAATTCTTATGATTATTAGCACAGAGACTGCGGGAATAATCCTCCGCAGTGACATCGCCGTGTGACATAATCCGGAAAAATCTAATAACAATAAAATAAAATTGCCAACGGTTTGTAAATTTAAAAGGCATAGGGAAGAAAATTCGTTTTCCGCGCCGTGACGGCCATTATCGTTACTTTGAATTTACTTTTTAAAGGCACCGTGAATTACGTTAATGTATTCGTTTTGTGCAGAAGAACAAATACACTGAGCTAAGTAGCATGAGCTGATTTAAAAACGCTAATGCTTCGAATCAAATTTCTCGCTAAATTTTAATACGAACAAATATCTCTAATAAATCAAATTTCAACTTCTTATCTATAAAAGGTGCTTAAATCAAAAACGTTCCTTAATAATATCTTCTTACATTATTACTATTAAAATTTCAGCAAAAGCCCGGAGACTTCCGCCCGTTCATTTGTATTAAAACGGCGAATCGCAGTTCAGGGGTGATCAAAACACTCACCTTTGTTTCCCCTTTTGAAAGATCCATTTCGTTTGTGCCCACCGCGGAGCACCTTCAAATTATTCTACCAGTTTTGAGTCGTAAATTTTAGGAAGACTTTAATTGTTATTTTAACTGCAAGCTCAACTTAGTCCGCGCTAAGACGGGGGACGTGAAAATATGTCTTAATTCGCTCACCCTATGACTTATGTTTTAATGAAATTAAACCGCTCGTATTCTGTTCGCGGTTCTCGTTACCACTTGTAACATTGTCCAATTAATAAGATCCATAATTCTTCTTTCTTTGCTCTTCGCGTAATAAGATTTTTTCTGTAGGTATGTGATCGTTTCCAATTTAAACGCAAGTGGGACTCGATCTCGTTGGACAACTCTCAAAGGGCGTCACGTCTGAAATTTAAATATTATTGTTGTTTTTGCTGAGTGCATGGAATTGGAGAGAAATGGAATTTCGTACCCTTCGTTATTCCGTTATCCGCCACGGAAAGTCGTCTAACTTCAAGTGAAAAAGTCCGTTATAACATTCGGGTTGTTAGAATACATCTTAACGTCAGCTAATTACTTCACGTTATTAAATTGCGTAACCGAAATTGATCCTTTTGTTTATGGGTCTCGATCCTTTCAATCATCTATCAGCCATTGAGTTTCGGTATCATAATAATTGTCCATAATTATATATTCCCTTGAACCGAGCGCATCGTTTTTATTGTTATTTTATTTATAAAGTAATAATTTTTTCGTCGAACGCAACTCGATCAGGTTTTGAATTTGATTGATCCGATATAAAGATCGATTTAATAATCGGCTGTTCTGCTTTACAGTCTCGCTTTTCTCTTGTTTTTATCGATAAACGTTCTTCATTGGATCGATTTTGTTTTCTGTCTGTTAAATTTGTAAACCCGACAATTTATGAGTTTCTAATTTGAATTATGTTAAGTGCAGCTTTATTATTTTTTGTTCAATTTAGTTTATGGCGTTAATAGAATTAATATTACGAATCATTCTTATAAATAAGGTGCTACTAAAAACAATACCTTAAAAAACATAAATTAATAATTATTTCTTTTTAAAGATTACTTATGTCCGCCATATATCTACTCGTAGATCATGATATTAAATTATTACATTTACACACAGACAATAACTACAAAACCACATAATACTACATGAATATCGGTTTGACGAACAAGGCATCCTAGTAGCACCTATGACATTAACATAAAACAATACGAATATACTTATATCTTTGTTAAGTACGCAGGGACCACCGGGAGCACCCTTTGTTAAGGCCTTGCCACTCGCAAATCGCGAGATGTTGAGATACGCGCATACCGACGCGGCCCTTAATGGCCATCCCTGGCTGAGGTAATTTACGTCTTATGTGCGAAACCACTCTTAACTAAAAGGCCTCTAAATTACACCATACAGGATTGATTCGAAATTAATCTCGCATCTGACGCAGCTCTAAGATTCACTCTTTTTGTTTTTGATTATAAAAAAGTCGGCAATAAAATTCTGATTGCAAATTATTGCGCTAATAGGAACCGAGCTGGGGCAAATAATAATAATCACCATTCAGAAAAGGGTACTATTAACAAATGTGGCATAGTATGAAAATATTTTATAAAATTTGTATTAAGAACAAAAGCATAATGTATTATAAAGACAAGATAAAGATACTGTGGAACAGAAGCCACAACAAAGCCTAAACCATTCGAATCGATAAAAGAGAACAATGAGTAGGGAATATGTGAACGTTTCAATTTACAAGATCTGCGAGCGCGATAACTCGTACGATACTCATACCTCCACCCTGGCCTTATTATAACCGAGCAAGTTAACTTGTCTCTGCCTTATCGGCGAGATTTCGGAACGTCGATACCGCATGAGTTACCTGGCTACTTTTTACGTGTATCCTCATATCAGTGTAGATTCATATCGCACGTACTATGTTTTGACGCGCCTGCTGTTAATTGGCATTATATTCCGATTAATGACGTTCCAAAGAATAAAAATCTTTACTAGTAATCAAATAAACGAAGATCGAAATTCCTGGTGACCAGTCCAGTCCTGTTATAAGAAACGGATGAGAAAGTATCTTACGTCTAGCTTTTATATTAGATCTGAACGTTTTTGATGAAATAAACCGTGTGGCCTATTTCACGAAAGGAAATGATCAAGATTCTTGAGTGATTTTTAAGACACCCATCGAATAATTTGACAACAATTTTTGCGTTTGCGACAGTCGATTATTTAAATTTGCTATAAATATGAAAAAATAATATTTTTATCTGTTCGCTCATTTTATTTATCATCACATCAAAAGCCAATATTAATCACAATATCACATCGTTTCATATCGTGCTTATTTAACCTCTAATTACGACTGTGGTCTCAATAGATTGCAGCCTCATATAGAACATGTTGAAATAATTGAATCGCTAACGGAATTATTAAACGGCACAATTCTTGTTGCATGCACTGTACAAGATAGTTGCGGTACGGTAATATCGTTGCAATTTAAATACCAATATTAGGTCAGTTATTAAAATGGATTTACATAACCCTATAAAAAGTGCTTGTGACCGAACAAACGTACATAATACATAGATTACCCATAATATTTTTATACTAAATTTAAAATATAGTTACCTAATTTGTCAAGTTGTTTATTTTTATTGACCATGTAAACGAAACTGATAAATACAATAATAAAATTATTAATTTAAACAATTAAACATTAAAATATAATCATTTAGGCAAATGTCTTAACCTGCCGTTACCGTTAAAAACCAATGGCAGCAAAAGTATGTCTCAGTGCAGTTAATGTAGATACTAAAGCGAGTTAATCAGTGCGATCCCCTTACGAGCTCCATTAGATTGACGCTGCTTAGCCCCTAATAGAATAAGGGACAAAATTAAATCCTGAGCAAAACCTCTTTCTATTCAAATTCTCTGTGATGGCTCCCGTGCGTATGGCTATTGATAGTTTCGATTCTACGACCGAGATTAGAGGTTGATTGAAAGTTACGGTTTAATTTACTTCAGATGTTGACTTTGCATAAAATTACAATGTATGGTAGAGAGTGAACACAAAGAGAAATAAACTTGGTTAGTTCTCGTCCAGAATCCTGAAACTTTCACAAAACAAAAAGATTGGACAGTTTTTAAAATGTTTAAAACATAAAGAATGTACACTATGCTGACATCTAAGGTTTATTTATTTGTCAATATTTGCCAAGAAATTCGTTAATATCTACCACCTATACCTATATCATTAATCGCCAATGCCATTAATTAAGATCGAATTCTATTAATTGATAAATATCACCTATTGATTTGTAATTTCTTAATATCCGAATCGGAAGTTGCTCCCCAATCATTTCCGTCAGGTTGGATTTAATTGGGAGTTATGCAAATCTCTCGATTCGACTCCTCCACAATAGTACCCGGATTCCGAATGAGTTAATCCGTGTTTATGTTCCTAATCGGCCCCTTACTGACGGCCTTGTTGCCAGTTTAGCTCACTGTTAAATTTATACAATACCTATTGTGTACAATGAGCCATTTATTCAACTTAAGACCTTGTTTATGATAATGGTTTCTTTTATTGGAATGCTTTTATTAAAATTGTGAAGTCAGGAGAAGGAGATGAATAATACTGGTATAGTAAAATGTGAATATTTATTGTTACAGCTGAACTGAAAATGGATGTCCTCAGAGAAAGAGAAGTGAAAGATAATTTGGAGAGACAACTTTTGGATGAACAAAAAATGAGAGGTAAGTGACCTTTGAATTCACTTTTCTCTAACCTATTATCTCAAAGTGCAAGATGTGTTGGTTTTATGTGATTATATCATTGGACTCGATATGAATGTTAAATGTTTTTCTAAAGTAATAGAATATTTGCAATTATTTTATAAATAAAATCTCTTAGGAAAACAGTATGTTCTGCAGATTCAACATTAAGCGAATGAGGTGCACTTTGAAAAGAACAAATAGGGTGTAATTTCAATGCTTCCATAAATCTTCGATCACTGGCCCTCGCTCCGCATTCGCCACAATTAACAGGAGATCTTGTTACAACACCATTGTCTTCTTCCTCGCTTCGTTATTTATTTCCAACATTAAAACTATTATTTTCTCATATTACACTAGCTGGAGCCTTATGTTGCCAATTTCCTTTACGTGCCACCGACTCATAGCCGCCTCTTCCATAATTATTGTCTACACCACAATGCGTTGTGGGTGTTCAATTAATACTATTTTTATGCGCTTATTCACACGTTATAATCTCTAGTCAGTTCTTGTACTTAATGTTGTCTGTTTGTTTCTGTACTTTCCCAAGCCCGCGGCTCGCGTGTTCCAACGTTTTCTTCAGTTTATAGGTTCATTGATAGTTTTATGGCTTGCTTTTGACGTCTATGTAATCACCATAATTACACAATTTATTAAAACAATTTTGCAGCGGTTCGTCGATAACTTGAAGACCGTTCTCGTTGTATAAATATAAAGTGGAATCAAATGCAGCTTACTTGACATCAAAGAAATTTCATCTTGTTCTTTCGTGATATTTTATCATTATTTAATGATAAAATATTACTATTATTATTTATTGATTTTTTTCATGATTTTAACTTACTATAAAAAGGCATATAATAATAAAATAGAGTAGGTAATTATGTCAATCTAATTTATTCCACTATTTTTAAGAAACTTCCTTTATACACAATACTGACCAAACGTTCAACCCCTTGCAATCGAAAAGGTTAATTCGAATACAATGTAACACCCTTTCCTTAACAATTCAACATAACGTCAGGAAGTAAAAAGAAAACTAACAGAATGAAGGTAGGTAACCTTTGTACAAATGTCAAGCTACATCGTGGTGGCAAACTAACGCCTTGAGACAAAGGGCTTAATTCTATTGAAAATGATAAGCATACTAAATTCAACTCTACTGTTGATATAATAATGTCACCTTTAACTCTTCTATTAGAACATTGTACATGTCACAGTCGGTTTAAAGGCGCCATAGATATTTTATCGAGGTAGACATTTCTCTTGTGTAAATGTAATATAAATTTAAATGTTAATAAAGGGACGACAGGTCACAATGCGCCGCGTATAATGAAAATATGTAATTATTGCCGGTGAAACACGTGTCATAATAACACTGCCGCTAAAAGTACAAGAGTATTATAATTTATATTGTGCACAAAAATACTCGGTGCCACCTTAAATGAATTAACGTGTACCTACTTTAAAACAAACCGTTGTTAATGGATTTTCTAGACTATTTGGTCTTCGGTCTACTTTAAAAGCTTTTTGACATCTTACTAGAGCGACCAATTAACACCTTTGTGTTTTCTTTATCGGTCCCATTTTCCGATTGCAACACAATTTTAGTTGTCTAAACAACTAAGCAATTATTGTTTTTAGATATACTTTTTCTAGTGAACGTATAATTTGACAGTTTATACTTGTAATATTACCCTATACTCTTTCGGAATTTAAAGGAAACTCGACTTAAATGAAAATAACTTGTTTGTCAATTATCGGATAGATCTGCGACGTAACAAAGAGGGAAATGGACGCTCCATACATATTTCACACGGTGAATGAACTCGATTGCGACGTGAGCAATACTGTTAATTGCCAAAAACCAATCATCAGATAGCGGTCTATGCGTCCGTGCTGTGAAATACAACTTTAGTTACAAAAGCCAGTGCTGCCCAATAGCCTCTCAAACAATATCATGATGAAACAACATTAAACTACAAAAAGCTTTTACTATAAAGAGGTTTTTGCAAATTAACATACACTTACCTTAATTCTGAACCTAAATTTGAAACAAATGTGACAGTAATTTAACCTTTTCTTTAAAGAAAGTATTCACAACCGTTTGTCTAAAGCTCAGAATAATAAATATGTCAAGCTCTGAAGAATTAAATTGAGAAAGTTTGACAAATTAAGTTTCAAATCACCAATCACTGGACTCAGGCGAGTCAAAACTTTATCTGGGATGAAAAGAGTAATTCGTAGTCTAATATTAAGGGCCGAGTTGTAAACAAAGCGAGCGAGCGCCCATTCATAACAGATATTGTATTGAATAGTCGTTATCGACCAATCTAGCGCTCTCGTAATGCACAACGCTTCCATTTAAACACAGAGATTGTTACGCACAGTACCCAATCTGTATAATTAATATGCATTGAAAACTTACATTAATTCCTAAGCGTATTTGAACCTAGTCGTATAATTAAATGTTTTTAACTTAGATCCGTAACAGTGTACTAAATAATTTTTCTCATTTTACACGATGAACTCTGATAGAACAAATCTGAAAGACGAACGAATAACACTCAATCATTTTGATTTATTCGGTTATAATTGAGCGCGACTGCTCTAGTTTGTAAGGGTGAATTCAGTCCTAGGAGGGGTGATTGTACCTTCGTTACAAGAGTCATACTGCATTCCTAGGAAAACATGCCTGTTATTGAATATTCTTGATATATTATTGTGAAGTAAAGATTTGTTTTTTTTTAATTTAAAAGGGTAGCAAACAAGCGTATGGGCCGTCTGATGGTAAACGGCCACCATAGCCTATACACGCTTGCGATATCAACCGTTACCTACGCGATATCAACCTTCAGGGTAGGCCCTGACCCAATGACTCACCGACAGAAACACAACACTTACTTCCAAAAGGTAGTGTTATTTTACATAAGACCAAAGTAAGGTGGTGGCTGCTTTCTCAGACGGGCGTTCCAATTGGAGCCGAAAAACCGCTATGGCCTACATCTCTGTAATACAAATTGTGAAGTCGTCGACATCAACACCGTTGACACGTCACGATATAATTGTAAATCTCAATATATTTATAATTTATATTATTTAAAGTATGTAACTGCTCAATGTTTAAATCTAAAGAAAATGTTAGTAGAAAAAATCCACGCGGACCAGGCAGCAGACGGGACTCGAACCCGCACTCTTCGCTATCCGAGCGAATGCACTGACCATTATGCTACCGTGGCCCTGATGGCCGTGTCGAATTCTTTCTAGCCTTTCTTAAGCTGCAATACGGCGCCATCTCTTCGCATAGGTAGGTAACCCACAATGTCAAATGAATACATTTACAAGTATTTACCATTTGAAAGAAGAAAATAGCAATTATAGTTATAATTTATTATAACTATAATATATTTAGTTTTTAAATCTCAATATATTCAATCAGCGTTGGTGCTCATTTAAGATATAATATCTCCGTTATCTACTTAGATTCCATCCCCCACACTGGAGCAGCAAGGAGTCGGTACAATTCACATTGTGCTCAAGATTGCGTAATTAAATAACATGTAGCCCGCCCATGATGTTTCATGGCGTCTTGAAAGGGTACGCAATGGGAATGTAACGCCAATTATGCCAAAATTATGCCCGGAATGGGGCTATCGATGTCTATTTTGATGTTGAAAATTTGATGTGCACATCCCTTCAAATATGTTATTAACAGTTATATTATTATGGCTTACATATAACGTGTTGATTGTTTTGGTTTATTATGCCTACCTATCTACTCGTATCTTGGATCTAAACTCTGCCTACAATATGTAACAGTCACTGGTATAAAACGTATATGAAATCAATGTAAAAACAAGTTGTGTGTGTATGTACCAAACAGATACCTTTCCTTATTTTCAAAGATTGAAAAAAGTATTGGTTAGAAATTTCGAAAGGGACTATAAACAGTTTCAAACAAAAAACATTTGTGTGACCACACATCTGAAGTGAAATCTCTTTTCTTAAATAACCTATATAAAATTAGATACGACGCTCGTACCGTTTCAGCCTTCGCCAAGTTACCTGCCAACTTTCATGCTCGTCGGGAAGAGCTGCGCACGCATTCCACACACACACACATATATATGTACGCATTTCCGTTTCACCTTTTCCATTTGCACCCAGTCCGAAAAAAGTTTCACTTCAAAAACCAATTTTGCTCACTCACCTAATATGGATTCGAGTGCATTTGTTATCCGTATCTATTGCAGAACATCACCGATATCCCGTCATCCCTATTTCAGCAAACATTATCGAGAGCGGACAGGCCACTGATCAAATTCAAATGAAATCGTTTAACAGGCGGACAATCGTATCATCATACGTCAGTAGTGGTCGCAATCAGTACTCTGGCGTTTGCACCCCATTACAACAATGCACACATTCGGTTGTCTATGTGTATCTAGTTCTGAGTGTTTAGATTGAGGATTATGTCAATCAAAATTTTTGTTATTGTACGTACATAATTAATAAAAAGTAAGGGCTTCTTATATTGTAGGAGATACGAGCAGACAGCTCACCTGATGGTAAGTGATCGCCGTCGCCGAAAGATTTTTTAACATTGTGAAAAGTTTATAAAATTTGCAATACAGCTTACTATTTATGTACGACCCCTTTATTTTTATCTTTACTTTTTTGTTGTTAAAGCGGCAATAAGACATTTGGTGAACATTACAAATATAACCATTGGGGTTCATGACCCGACTTACTGATGGATAGATGGACAGATATCAAGACTCAATTATATTGACTCCATTCACGTCATAAATGGAGGTAGCCTAATGTGCTAGGATTTGTCAAAAAACATAGCTTGATTTAATAATGTTTTTATTTTTTAAGCATTTAACTGCTATATGTTTAAATCTAAAGAAAAGTTTACTACAAAAAATCCACGTGGACCAGGCAGCAGACGGGACTTTTTTCTAATAAACTTTTCTATA